GTCCCGTATGTCTCCCGACTGGAGCATGAGCTCCGGGGCGGGACTTTGTCTCCCTTGTTCACTTGCTGTCTGCACGACCCAGATGGTGCCTGACACGAAGCAGGGTTTAAATTATTATGTAGTCGATGAGCAAATGGTGATTCATGGTTCTTAGACATGTACTGTGTCCTGGACGCAGTGCTGAGTGCCTTACCCACACGGTCTCTCTGCGTCCCCCTCATTACGACTCCATGTCGGGCACCATTTCTCTCCCAGGCTTCTGCAGCCAGCCCCCCGCCAACTCACAGAGGTCAGCCCCCCACTGCTGCACTGCAGGGAAACAGGGCCTTGCCAGCTGACAGATTGAGCAGTGTATGTGTAGCCCTCGTGTTACTGATCTTTTCGCTTCAGTCGTGTGACTGTTGGTCCGAATCCCCCCTGCCTTCTGGAAGCCCATTCCCCATCACGGCTGATGACACACGCCTGGGTGTTTCTGACTTGTCCCTCTCTGTGTCCGTCGTGAGCACCTGTTCTAGGGCCTGTCCTGAAAAGCTGGTGTGCCCCCCGCCCCCCGCTTGTGTCAGCTCGCTCCGCGTGTGCTCCTTGGCCATCTCATCTGTTCTGGATCCCACCCCTCACAGGGGACGCTGCACCCCTGTCACCTGGCCCATTCTAGGCCATCCCACACTCAGTTTACCCCAAACTGACTTTCTCTGTAAGCTGCTTACATATGTACCCGGTTGGCCGCCACGTTCACGTCCCTGCAGTTCACGGTCTCAAGCTGGAAGCTGGGAATCTATGACTCTCGGGTTCAAGCCATCCAGCCATCATCCAGACCATGGTGGTGTCGGCCTCCAGACTGTGCCCTCTCGCCCCCCAGGCCCGCCCTCCTCGACGCCGTCCCCCACGCGGCTGTCCCAGAGTTCTCACCAAGGTGACTGGGGCGCTGACCGCTGACGTGTTTCCCCGCCAACCTCCACAAGGGCTGTTTGGCTGGTCCTGCAAGCGCCCCGACCCACAGTGAGGGTCTGTTCCTAAGACTGACTGCGGCAGAAGCTTCTGGAAGGAGATAGAAAAAGTAAGAATTGCAATCTCATTTGAAAATAGCTACAGCCTAACGTATATTACTGGGAAAAAATATGCAAGAAAATATTCACAAGACGAAATAAAAAGGAGCTCTCAAAACAGAAAAGAAATTACACAAGTCAGGCCAAAAAACGGAGAACTCCATGAAGAGAGCTCAGGATTCGGAGGGGCCGGCGTGGGATGTGATTCCCCGCGCTCGCTGCTGGAGGCCGCCAGCAGGGGGCAGACCTGAGAGCTGGCCGTGGGGTCCCGCCAGCTTTCAAGTTTCGCCAAATGTACAAAACAGTGAAGGAGAAAACAGAAATTGCCTATTTCCTACTACCCAGAAATAACCACCCTGATTTCCTCCTGGCCTTTAAGTGTATATGCTGGAGGTGACGTCGTGCACACAATCTCCCCTAACTTTAGGTCGAAAGCATATCCTAACACTGCAAAACTGCACGGTTTTGATCACTATCTAATGCTTCTCAGAGTTGCTGTCCGTATTTATTTTCTGACATTCTCATTTTCGTTTTGCGGTGTTAAGAGAAGACCTGGGACATCAGTAAAACCCTTGGACTCGACAGTAGGCAAAGGCAGGGGCATCAGAACTGAAAAAGGCTCAGGTCTGATCCCAGGTCAGGGCCTCATGGGACTGGGAGACAGAGGGAACAGGGGCCTGCTGGGTCTGAGTGGGCCTGCCTGCGCTCTTGGAGATGCTGAGTGGTGAAAAGAAAGGAAAGGTAGGAAGACCGTTTAACAGCATAGGTTTTTTCAGAAAGGGTGAGACCCCAGTGTTTCAGGCTCTGATAAGGGCCCAGTTCGGGGGAGAGATGAAGGCTCGTTGGTGGAACCGGGTTCGGTGGGTAGTGCGGAAGGAGGCGGAAGGGAGCCCGAAAGCCCCCGGGGGCAGAACGCCAGGATCAGGATCAGGTGCACACGAGAAGGAAGACGGGATGACGGGGAGGAAGTTTCCGGTGCAGCAGTGCGCGTGTCTCACGTAACACCGGTCTCTGACCGTGCGCGTGTCTCACGTAACACCGGTCTCTGTGTGCGTGGCTCACGTAACACCGGTCTCTGACCGTGCACGTGTCTCACGTAACACCGGCCTCTGTGTGCGTGTCTCACGTAACACCGGTCTCTGACCGTGCGCGTGTCTCACGTAACACTGGTATCTGTGCGCGTGTCTCACGTAACACCGGTATCTGTGTGCGTGTCTCACGTAACACCGGTCTCTGACCGTGCGCGTGTCTCACGTAACACCGGTCTCTGTGTGCGTGTCTCACGTAACACCGGTCTCTGTGTGCGTGTCTCACGTAACACCGGTCTCTGACCGTGCGCGTGTCTCACATAACACCGGTATCTGACCGTGTGCGTGTCTCACGTAACACCGGTATTTGGTGGGTGTGGGGTTGGTGGAATGCTTGTGTAAATGTTAACTTACAGTTGGGGGAACTGCTTTCCTGAGCCAGTGAGGGCGTGGAGGACGTCAGCGTCCCCTTAGAGGGTGATGTGGTTCTTACTGGGAAGGGACAAGGCAGAAGTGAGGGCCCAGCTGTGGCGGGAAGGACTTGCTGGGTGTGCATGATGGAGGCCCGTCACAGCCCTTCCAGAGTCTTAGTTCCAATGACCGTCCCTGAGAAGAGCCCTGGGGAGGGACCACGTGATAAGCTGCCCACCTCTGGTGCTCACTCATCTCCTCCTGCTCCGTCTCTGAAGGGCCCCGCGCACTCGAGCGTGAGGGGCGTCCCGGGCACCTGAAGCCACGTGTGGAGATGCCTGTCCTACCCCGTGCTGCACAGGGGTTACTGTTCAGGTGTTTTCACGGGGTGGATGCAGCAGAACTTGGTTTCCAGGACGGGCGAGAATCAAGCTTCCTGGATTCGGATGCTCACCATGGGACCTGGGAAATTCATCCTGGAATCTCCGAGACTCGTTGTAGCTGCGGAGACAGACCAACACTGGAAACTAGTTACGGATGTGAAGTGTCAGGTGGTGGGGAGTTCCGGGGGGGAAGCAAAGCAGAGAAGGGGCGGGAAGTGTCAGGGGCCGCGTGGGGGGACCTCTGAGCAAAGACTCCAGGAGTGGAGGCTGCAGCTGCACAAGCGTGTGAGGCTGCGTGCCCTCCACGTGCAGGGAGGGTGGGGAGTGACTGTGGCCGGCATCTGGGAGCTGGGCATCCAGGCCCTTTGGGGCCATTGTACTCTGGGCAAGAAGGAGGAAGCCACAGGAAGGTGTGAGCAGCGGAGTGATGAAATCTGCCATGAGTTGGACCAGGCTCATTCAGAATGTCGGGTGGAGGCAAGAACCTGGTGAGGGGACATCACAGTAACTCACATGAGGTGTGACAGTGACATGCACTGGCCCACAGCTCCTGGGTGAGAAGGTGTAGGTTCTGTGTCCAGGGAGATCAGCAGCACTTCCTGGTGACTTAGATGACGAATGGGAGAGAAACAGGGAAGGTCCATTCTTTGGGCCTGAGCAGACGGAAGGGTAGAATCACCAGGTACTGGGCCAAGAAAGACAGAGGGGGGCGGGCTGAGGAGGAAGGTCGGGAGTTTGGGCTTGGATGCTTGTTGGGCACAAACTGCCCGTTCCAGTGGGGAGTTGGACGGGAGACGTGAGGTCTAGGTTTGCACCCCTGACAGGCTTGGGGGTGCTGATGTGGACGCTCCCAGTCTGACCGGCGGTGCAAGAGCCCCCAGTCCCGGGGAAATACAGGAGGACATTGGCTGAGGCTCATCGTCCTGCCTCCCCAGCCATGGGGAGCTCCTCGGGTTCAGGTGCAGAGTAGGCACAAAGTTAGATTTCCTCAAGATGGGGTAAGTGGGGGCGCCTGGGCCGCTCAGTCGGTGAAGCATCTGCCTTCGGCTCGGGTCATGACTGGGGGTCCTGGGATCGAGTCCCATGTCGGGCTCCCTGCTCAGCGGGAAGCCTGTTTCTCCCTCTCCCTGCTGCTCCCCTGCTTGTGCTCTCTCCTCTCTCTGACAAATAAATAAATGCAATCTTAAAAACAAAAAAGATGGGGTAAGTGAAGCAAAGGATTATTCAGCACAATATGTAGTACGTGGTTTACGCCTCAAACCTAAGTCAATACCCAGCACCTGCCTGCCCTCGGATTCCTCCTGCCCTCAGAGAGAGGGACCCCCCCCATCCCTGGCTCTGCACGGGCTGGTTAAGGGCCCGCACACCTGCCACACCTTGGCCTAGTTTCTGAGCATCTCCAAACTCATTCCTTCATCTGCAAAATGAGGCGATAAGACGCCGACTTCATGGAGTCGTTGGAAACTTTAACCAAGTCTCCGCGTGTAACACTTAGCCCACGCGAGGCCCACGGTGAACAGGAAACATCTGTGGTCCTCAAAGGCCAGAGGCATCGACGCGAGCTCCCGGAGCAATCCGTCCTTCCAGGCGTCTTCCAGACCCCCATTTCTCCTCCTTGTCCCTGCCCTGCACTTTCTAGCATCAATCACGTGTTTGCCATGTGTGGGAGCTGCGTGTGTGCTGGTCGAGCCTGCTGAAGTCAGCCCTGGCATATTTCTCACTCATACACCCCAGAAGCACTGCGCCCAGTGCCTGGCCCATGTCGCACCTTCAAGGAATTATTTGTGGATTTGAAATAAGCTTATACGATGTAACACTCATGCATCTTATTTAATTTTTAATGAGTTTTTATGGTAAGTGTAATAATCCTCCTCCTGGTGAAAAAGAATTCAGACAATGCAAATAGAAGTCCTCTCTCCAGCCTGTTCACTGACCTGAAGTTACCGCTGTTGGGGGCTTTCCAACCAGAGGCAGACACCGAAGGGTTCTGATTACCTAAGAGGATCCTGTAATACTCTTGTGCAACTTTCGTAACGTACCAACGCACCCTGGACAGTATTTCTTGTTCGTCCTTGCAGACCTGCTTCTTTCTCACACTGCATCGTTCAGATGCTCCATAATTTGTCCATAGACATTCAGGATGCACCCTGGGTTTTTGAGAATCCTCGTTATAAACAGCGGGACAATGAACACGGATCTCTGTGTCCTTCTGTATGTAACTGGAGAATAAATTCCTAGACGTGGATCAAGGGACGTGTTATAAATGTCATGTGTCGCTGGCTGTAGCAGGTACTTAGAACACCATGCGTTCCAGCCAGCGTAAGTAAGTAGAGATTTACTGCAGGGTGCGGGCTCGTGTGCAGAGTCGTTGCAATGGCTCAAAGACGAGTTTCGGTCAAATGTGGAGCAATGACTTCCAGAGCTGTCCTGCAGACCTGGGCCTCGAGAAAAAGTGCTGCCTTTCTCGTCAGGCGAATCCTTGCTGGCTGGGCCGCTGCCCTGCACCTTCCAGCTCCAGAGGCATGCTGTCTGGGCTGCAGTCGGGACGTGGAAACGGTCAGGAAGTCTCCGTGGAAAACAATCACTGATGACAGTTCACCCCCAGGAGCGCCGGTTCCTCCTCAAACTCAAGCGATTAGCAGAATCCAACTCACATGGAGAAATCTGGCTCTACTGGAGCCCAGGGGATGTAGTTTATAACTTTCCTGCTTCTGCAATGCATGAAGTCACATACAAATGGGGTTGGGATGGGCCTTGAGTGCCACATGCCCGTTACACTTGTTTTTTTTTATTTTATTTTATTATGTTATGTTAATCACAACACATTACATTATTAGTTTGTGATGTAGTGTTCCATGATTCATTTTGCCAAAATATCTTCCAGAATCTACCATACACGAAAGCGCCGGATTCTAACACACCATCAGCGAAGCTCTCTTACCACACCTGATTTCTACTAACCTGGTTTAATATCTCATTGTTTCAGGTTTGTGTTTCTTTAATTATGGGTCAGATCAAACATTTTTAGATTTGCTTATTGACCTTTTGTATTTTTTATCTGTATTAGTTAGCTATTACCTAGTAACAAACTACCGCAAGGGGCGCCTGGGTGGCTCAGCCAGTTAAGCACCCGACTCTTGATCTCGGCTCAGGTCATGATCTCAGGGTCATGAATTCGAGCCCCACATTGGGCTCCATGGCTTAAAGCAACAACTGTTAATTATTTCTCAAGAATCTGCAGGTGGGGCGCCTGGGTGGCTCAGTCAGTTAAGCATCCAGCTCTTGGTTTCGGCTCAGGTCATGAACTCAGGGTCATGAGATCCAGCCCCATGTCGGGCTCTGTGCTGCACTCAGTGGGAGGGTCTGCTTGGAATTCTGTCTCTGCCTCTCTCCACCTCACCTCCTGGCTCGCATGTGCTGTATTTCTCTCTCTCTCAAGTGTAAAAAAAAAAAAAAAAAAAAAAAAAAATCCGCAGGTCATCGGGTGGTTTTGCTGATCCTGGCTGAACTCAGCTGCTAGCTGGGCTCACTCGCGTGTCTGGGGTCAGCGGCCAGGTCGCGCCAGCAGGCTGGTGTCGGGTGGATTGGCTCTGCTTTAATGTGACTCTTCCTCAGGCGAGCCTGGGCTTATGTTCCTGACAGTGGCCGGGATCCAAGAGAGGAGAGAGGAGGACTCAGTGCTTTTCCCGTGCCTGCTCTGTGTGTGCAGACACCCCCGTCGCATTAGCCAAAGCAGGCCCCACGGCCAGGCGGCCGAGCACAGCGTGAGTGTGAGAGGCCACCAGCCCGCGCACGATACAGATAGGCTTTGATAGGGGCCATTTATGAAATCAGTCTCTTGCACTATCTTTTGTCTGTTGTTTTGTCTGTCTTGTTGGTTTGTAAGAGTCCTTTTTATGTTAGGTAGCTTCACACAAAATTCAGATAGTAACAATAAAATGTGGGCTGTATGTTTATAAGTGAAAGAAGAATGAAACAAGCAACTACATTGCAGAAGTGATGTCTAAACGACTTTTCTCGTGAACACACACGGAGTTTCGCTGGGTGATTGGCGGAGGGTGCACAGCTGGGATGCGAGGCATTGCTGCTTCCTCAGCAACGTGCGGCCACGTGGGAACAAGCCCAGAGTTCCAGAGCATCCATCTGCGCGGCCTACGGCAGGCACGGGCTTCATTTTTCCCCCGTTTCCTGAAAATCCACAATCAACTATGGTTCAGATGGACATGGAAGGCCTTGGGGCCAATTTCAGCCTCGGGGTTCAGAGCCGCGGGTCTCACAGCCTTCCCTCCCCGGCTGACCTCGCTGACGGAAACCGCTCTGCAAGTAGAGAAAAAACTGCAAACGCAAAGAAAGATGGACGTCTGCACTGTTGGTGTGGATGCTTTGTTTTCACAACCCCCACGTCCCTGACCTGATGCAGGTACACACGCACACACTGGAAAAGGTCATTGGAAATACTTCCACACGTAATTTGCTCCTTCTCAGACCTTCCTTTGTACTCTATTCACACCACATAGGTTGTCTATACCAGTTAGGATATAAACTCTCCAAGTGAAGCGAAGCCCTAGATTACAGCAGCATGAACACAAGCTTATTTCTCTCCTAGGTAGAGTCTGGGCAAATCCAAGCTCGGGTGAGTCAGGTCAGTTCAGACTCACAGTGTCGGTGACCCAGATCCACCCTCCTGGTGCTTCTGCCATGCCGAGCATGCGGCCCTCATGTCCAGGCCAGCTCACAGCCTGTGAAGGGGACAAGGACGAAGGGAGGTAATGCACCTTTTTTAAGATGGCTTGTGTGTCATTTCCATTCACGCCCCATGCACCACAGCTCAGTTACATGAGCGCTAGAGCAGAACTGAAGTTGGCGGACAGTTGGGGTCTCTACGCTTGGCAATATTCCTTCTCATAACTGGGACTGTTTGAGTAATGCCTGTCTTTCCTGCAAGACTGTGAAACCCGCAGGGTCAACAACCCAGCCTGTCTTGTGCGCGCCGTGGCATGGGCCCTCTGTAAATACGTGTTCAATGAAGAAATGGTAGGGCGAGTGCTAGACAATCTATCTCCACCCTCAAGAATCTAAAATCTGAAAGAAGAGCAACCCTTGGGGTGCCTGAGTGATGCATTCAGCTAAGCGTCCGACTCTTGACTTTGGCTCAGGACATGATCTCATGTTTGTGGGATGAAGCCCTGCCTTAGGCTCCAGGCTCATCGGGGAGTCGGCTTGAGATTCTCTCTCCCTCTGCCCCTCCCCCCAACTCACACGTGGGTGCACTCTCTCTTCCTCTCAAAATAAATAAATAAATTTTTTTTCTTAAAGATTTTATTTGTGTGTGTGAGAGAGAGAACACTAGTAGGGAGAGTGGCAGGCAGAGGGAGAAGCAGGCTCCCCGCTGAGCAAGGAGCCCAATGTAGGGCTCGATCCCAGGACCCTGGGATCATGACCCCGGCTTAAGGCAGACGCTTAACTGACTAAGCCACCCAGACATCCCAATAAATAAATCTTAAAAAAAAAAAAAAAGCAAGCCTTTTTAGAGACCCGCACGGTGGGCGTGTGTGTGGCCAGGGCTGCTCAGGGGCTGCACAGGACAGACCGTGGGAGGCTGTTTCCAGGAATCAGCAGCATTCGGGCTGGGACTGGAAGGTGGGAGTAATGTTAATTTGTGGAGGTGACGGGGAAAAGCTTTCTGAGCAGGGTCCACAGCAAGGATGTGATAGAATGAGATTCGGGGTGCCAGGTATGATGCAGGTAAATTTGAATTTCAGATAAATGAATTATTGTTCAGTATAAGTATGTCCCAAGTATTGCACAGAACACACTCATACTAAAAATGGTATTTGTTGTTTATTTGAAATACGGATTTAACTGGGCATCTGTGTTTTCATGTGCAGAGTTTGGCAATCCTAAATAAAATGCTAATTCATGTATCAACTTGGCCTCTTTCTTTAAAGGGGGAAAACAACATGTCCTTTATTATACGCGCTGCCGAAGCAAGCCCACAATATGTCCTTTAATTCATTTTGTTGAACTTGATTTGTTAGCTGAACACGGAAAAAAAATGAAGTGAGCTGAATTTGGAGCCCAGCATCCCAACCATCACTGAAATAACCTCAAAATCTCAGAAGCTTAACAGAAAAAAGGTATGTTTCTCCCTGATGGAACGTCTGCCCTCCCCTTCCCCGCCCCGGGGCAGTTTTCCCCTAAGTGGTGGTGCCACCTCCTCCTGGAGTCCTTTGTTTGTGGTCTCACAAACTGGGCAGGGGCAGCCTGACAAGTCACGTGGCTCTTCTGTGGGCGGGCTTGCAAATGGCCCGCGTCAATGCTGGCCTCTTTCCAGTAGCAAAACCGGATGGGTGGCTCCAACCCAGACAGGAGGAGGGCCAGGAGACGCCCTCTCCCTGCGTGCCCCGAGCTCGCTGCCGCCAAGCCAAGCGCCAATGGAAGGAACGCGGTTCTGTTCAAATCACAGCCCCGCCTTCCTCCATCCATGAGACTTGGCACCACGTTCCAGAATCTTCTCACTTGTAAAAAGGCCACACAGTACATCCCTTGCAGCGGTGCTGTCCAGGCATGCCGCCCGGGGTGCGGGAGGTACTGAGGGAAGAGTTGGTACTGTAGCATTATTACTCTGTTTGCAACCCGTTAACAGTGTCTCTGTGGCTTTCCGCGTGGTGCTGGTTTCCCAATAGCAACACAGAACGGTAGCATCGAAGTTTTTCATATCTTAAATTTTAAATCTAAGAAACCATCCAATCAAGTCGAGGTTCAGTCACGTTGAATAACTTGGCCAAGCTCACACAGCCAAGTGTCTCAAAATCCAGCTGGCGCTGTGCGCTCTCAGTAACCAGGGCGCAGCGCTCACCAATGTCCACGCTGTCCCTCAGGTGTTTCCACGTGAAGGGGTCAGGCTGCATGCGCTCCTTTCTTTAGGCCATCGGGAGACTTGGCTTCTTTCCCCCTCAGGTATCAGAGCCGGGTGCTGGCTGGGATCGGCTGGACCGCCAGGCTCCGCTCCCAGCATTCATGCTGCCTGCATGGAATCTGGTGAAGAGCCTGAGAAATGTTCTGACTTTCCCTGCATCTGACCGCGTGGCCTGGCTGAGTCCCCCTCACAGGCCCCACTCACTCTGCCCAGGGATGCAGACGTTAGTCTCCAGCAAGAGTGGGTTGCTAATGACAAGCCATAATGAAACGGCCTGACCACATTTTCCCCCAGCTTTGCTTTTTGTTTTCAACTTTGGTTTCATTTTGCCATGTCCAGGGAACTTAGGAGGCTGAACTTCCAATGGCCCAGCGACGGAGCCTGAGATCATGAAACTGAATCTCCCGTGCTCAGCACCTGTACCGCTTGGGTTCATTTATCTTTACAAATAGTTTTCCAAGAGACAAGGCAGCGTGAGCTCAGGAAGAGAGAAGTCATGACCGACAGAAGTTTCCCAGACATCCCAGCTTTGTGACCTGTTGCCGCAGCCTTAGCTGGTTTACGGTGGTGGCCTCGCCCATCTGCCAGTGTCCAAAGATGGGACAGGGGCTGAAATCAAATGTTCTCCCAGCTCTTAGGGATACACAACAATTCCCCCTGTCTTCTTAACCCAAAGATGAGGAGGTGCACTTCACAAGCAGATTGTGTCCTTCAAAATGGTTCACCCATAAAACACCTCAAACCCGTTCTTCTGTACAAGCTCTTGCCAGCGAGTGACAAGATTCCCTTCTCTAGTCTGGATGCATTTTCACAGGGCAAATCACAGTAGAGAATGTCCACCCTCCCCTCCAGCAGATTGGCAAGTAGTATGTTCAAGGCAATGTGAGAAATGAAACGCCTCGTTCTATAGAAAGGCTCAAAAAATACCTTTGACAAAAGTAAGATGAGGTTTATGACTTAGAGCAAATATTTGAAAGGATGTTCCCTGATAGAGAAAGGACTATCACGTCCTGTTTGCTCTGTCTCCCAGGAGGGAGGAGCAGGCCTCCCGAAGTGCGTGGCACCCTCTGGGGTGCCCCACATAGATCACACAACTCCAGGCCTCAAAATTGAGGGGCTCCTAGAGCAACCAAAGACTCACTATAGTTAGCTTAAAAAACAAAACAGAACAAAACATTGAGAGCATTTCCCAGGATAACTCTTAATAGAGGTCAGCAACTAAGTCCAGCTCCCCTTGTGTTATCATTTCCTCTGGAGTTGGTCACTGTTTTTCCTGATGGCCAGGTACAGCTGGACAATGTGCACAACTTCCCCTCCAATAAACAGGAAAAACAGAAGACGGAGAAGGCAGGTTATGGGAAGAAAATCATGACTGCAGTTGAAAATAGCGGGGTGATTTCACTTGTCACTGAGGGAGGAAGGAGGAGCCGTTTGATAGAAGAGCGGCTCATTGCGTCGTGAGAAAGAGCGTTTGAAAAGCTAAATACGGTGCTGGTTTGAAAACAGGTGTGTGCAAGCCTCAGCTTGAACCCAAGTTGCAAAAATTAGACTTTTCAAAATGAAATTCCAAAAAAAAAAATTGAGGGTAGCTAAGGATGATTTACATTTTTTTAAAATTGCTAACTCCAAAGTTAATATATGATCGTGTAGGAAAACATAAAAAGGAAGAAATGCCTAAAAATAGGTTTCAAATGTTTATTAAAGTAGAAATATATATACATATAAATAATGCAAGTAATATAAAAACGTGAACGCAGAAGGTGAAATCCCCATTAGCCTTCTTCCCAGAAACAACCGGAATTAATGACTTAGTGGACAGTTCTCTAGATTATCTGTATATAACCAAACGCATATGGGGGGAGGGCACTACAAAAAATATGATTGTCCTTTAATACTTTATTTATTTATCAGTACTTTCTTTTTGGAATTCACTTTCTTTTACCCCCTCACAGTGTCTTGGACATCCCTCCGTGTTAGTACTTTACAGACATGCTTTATACTTTTTAACTGCTACATAGGATTCCACGGAGTGGGTATAATTGCAGGTGAATATTTTACCCACATTTTACTTAACAACATCATAATCATACTGAAAGTTTTAGGGGATTCGGTGTAATCATGCTCTCATTATACAAATTCACGACTTTCACTTTTTTTGTTTCCCTGCCTGTGCCCATCTGCACACACACGTTTTTTTTTTAATGATGAACCTAATTTTATTTATTTATTTTTTTAAGTAGGCTCCACGCCCTTTGTGGGGCTCAAACTCATGACCCTGAGATCAAGGGTCTGATGCTCTATCGACTGAGCCAGGCAGGCCCTCCACAAACGTTTGAATCATTGTTCATTGAACCAGGAGCTCTTCTCTGAATTGCTCCTACCAAGGGCTAGGTCCTGCCAGGCGCTAGGAGCAGGCATGGCTGGCCTTGTACAGGAATGACAAGCACATGCCAGGCCAAATTGTCACTTGAGAGACTCTCTAGCTGCTTGGTCATCTACAGCTCAATTTAAGTAGATCTCTTTGTACAAATTGTAAATATCTTCCTAAAAATCAAAAGGCACTCATTTTTGTCAGATGCTTTTCTCAAGGGTAGACTCCTTTACACCTCTCCCGGGTCTGACCTGGTTCGCGTGGGTTTGGGACAGCGTTGAGCTGAGATCTGACCCCACTGCTCTTCTCCGTTTCTCCGGGGGCCAGGCAGGAAGCGGACTGCGATTTCCTGCAGACTTTCCCTGCCGCGGCTGCCCCACAAGAGAGGCCACAAACACGCCCTTCCTCCTTTTTTATTTTTTTTATTTTTTTTAAAGATTTTATTTATTCATTTGCGAGAGAGACAGAGAGAGCACAAGCAGGGGGAGAGGGAGAGGGAGAAGCAGGCTCCCTGCTGAGCAGGGAGCCCGATGCGGGACTCGATCCCAGGACCCTGGGATCATGACCTGAGCCGAAGGCAGTCGCTTAACCATCTGAGCCACCCAGGCACCCACGTCCTTCCTCCTTGACACTAACTCCACAGATGGAGTCGGGGACCTGGGCTACAAGGAGGACAAAGTGGAGGCCTGAAACTCCTGGTAGAGGATGGTATTTTATGCTTTTGGGAGAGAACATGTGCCTTACTTTAAGAAACTACATGGTTTATGTATTTAGAAACCTCAAGAATGGCTGTTAAAAGCTATGTTTTTATTAAAATGCTTACGAAGGGGGCACCTGGGTGGCTTAGTCGTGGGGGCACCTGGGAGGCTTAGTCATTAAACATCTGCCTTCGGCTCAGGTCGTGATCCCGGGGTCCTGGGATTGAGCCCCACATCGGGCTCCCTGCTCGGCGGGAAGCCTGCTTCTCCCTCCCCCACCCCCCCTGCTTGTGTTCCCTCTCTCGCCGTCTCGCTCTCTGTCAAATAAATAAAATCTTTAAAAATAGTAATAATAAATAAATAATTTAAAAAAGGAATTTATTACGAGGAATTTATTTTTTTTAAGATTTTATGTATTTATTTTACCAAAAGCTCATGGTTTTGACTTGCATTTCCCCGATGACTCCTGGTGTTGAGCATCCTCTCACGTGCTGCTTGGCCGTTTGTACGTCTTGCTCCGAGAAATGTCTGTTCAAGCCCCTGGCCCATCTTCTCACTGGCCTGTGGTTTTATACTGAGTTGTAAACCTGGAAACCTCTCTTGCTTCCTTCCTCCTCTCCCAGCTCTCTTCCTTTCTGTCCCCTGCCCCCCGCTGAAAGGCACTAGACAAGAGGGTTGCTCACACCGAGCCCCACTCAATATGTCAGAGTCGAGCGGAGGGAAGAGCACAGAAGGGGCAGCTCCTGTGGGTGGGGTGGGGTCTGGGGGCTTCGGAGGACAGAGCCTTGAAGCGAGTCGTGAGGAGCGTTCCAGCTCGCCCGTGACGTCAGGCGAGCCCTGCTCTTGATTCCGTCCTCCTGCGTCTAAGTCAAGGAAGTGCCGGTGGGTCAGAGTCACCTGTATGTCAGTTGAACAGGTGCTAAGTAAACCCATCAACAGCAGCCCCTGGTAAATGTAGACGAGGCAGTCACCTCTGGCAGTTTGGGGTTTATAGAAAGACCCTCCCCCTAAAAAATATATATCCAGGGGCGCCTGGGTGGCTCAGTTGGTTAAGCGACTGCCTTCGGCTCAGGTCATGATCCTGGAGTCCCGGGATCGAGTCCCACATCGGGCTCCCTGCTCGGCGGGGAGTCTGCTTCTCCCTCTGACCCTCCCCCCCCTCTCATGCTCGCTCTCTCTCTCTCATTCTCTCTCTCAAATAACTAAGTAAAATCTTTAAAAAATATATATATATATCCAAATACCTCCCATCTCTCTACAAATATACCAGTACTACCGTGAAACCTCTTATTTTTAGTCTGTTGGGATGTGATGCCACTTGGGAGGGATAATGTCCCCAAGCACTGGTTTATTAGGGAGGGATCAGTTCATAGAACATTAAATTTAGAGTTTGAATCCTCTCCCACCGCTAACTAGCTGTTTACCTTGGCCAAATCCCAGTCTTCCCGGAGTCTATCTCCTTATGTATACAATGAACTTAGTAACACCCACTTTATGCAGTGATCACAAGGACTAAGGAACCAGCATATGATAAATACCTGCTAGGGTCTGGCCAGAATAAAACCTCCAAACAGTAGTTTGGGGTTTTGTTTTGTTTTTTAAGATTTCATTTATTTGTCAGAGAGAGAGAGAGCGTGCGCACAAGCAGGGGCAGAGGGAGAAGACTCCCCACCGAGCAGGGAGCCTTGATGCGGGACTGGATCCCAGGACCCTGGGACCATGACCTGAGCTGAAGGCAGACACTTAACTGACTGAGCCACCCAGGCGGCCCTCCAAACAGTACTTTGAATTTGTGTCAGAAGGACTTGGAAAGAATGGAACACAGAATGGGTGGGGATGGTATCAGAGAAGAGAAGCCAGGAGAGGTCTGGGTGGGGCATCGCAATGGGAGCCCCCAAAGCCGGGGAGGAGAGTGGACGCTGCCTCCTGTCCTGCCGAGCCTCCTGTCCAGCAGCAGAGTGATGGCTTCCAGGGAATGCGTGCCCGTAATCCCGGGCTCTGCACATTCCATCAGCTTCTGTCTGATTCTCTGTCAGTCACCAGGGATTTCCAGGCAAGCTGGGGACGAGGCCTCTGGGCCTGAACCCTTGGTCAAGCTAACAGTGAGGCGCAGAGCAACCCACGGCCCCTTGCCGCCCCCCCCCCAAGTTCCCCGACTCTGCAGGGCGCAGCCTAGACCTGAGTGGACGCTGTTGCCCATGACCCCTCGGAACAGAACGAGGTGCTCTGTGAAATGGAAAGAGATGTTCCCGCCTGACAGCTCAGCAGTTCTCCCTAAAGGAAAATGTACTTTGTAACTGCTTCGTCCACACCACAAGGGCAGCTTTGTTGCTGGCCTCCAGGGATGCTGCACGGGGCCGCGGTGACCGGGCAGGGAACACGCAGGCCCTTGATAATAGTCCTTTGTCCTAGCCTCCCCACGAGAGTAACAAACACCAAGAATGGCTCTAGCAAACACAGCTGAGACGCAGGGTGCAGCCCTGCCTGGAGACCCGATTTTATGAAACACCAGCCTCCGTGCAAAGGAGGAGGAAACGGGAATTCTGGGCCCCTGCGCACAGTCCCTCAGAGGAAACCGACCCCCAGAGCAAGTCCCTTC